GTTCATTTGTCTTTCCGAGCTGATCACATGTGGTTGCATCAGAATACAATATTATTGATAGAACATTTGCTTGGTTGGAAATTGTTTTTTGTACTTCTTTCTACCATTCTTCATTAAATTGTTCATTAAATATTCATTGTTCATCATAGTATAACAGCGAAAATTCAAAAACACAATGATTAAGTATGTCCTTATTGGTTAATAATTCCTTAATACAATCAAAAATCGGACAGTAATTTAAATAGTATGTGTCTTTTTTATATTCTATTATTGGTACTTTCTTAAAAGAAATATGCGATATACTAATTTTATCTAAAAATTGCTTCCCTTGTTGAATTGAGGTAGGTAAGATTATATTGTCATGTGATACTTTGTTTAAAAAACAAAGTATTTCACCACCGCATATATTAGACAAGTTCCATTTAATAACTAATTTCATAAAGTTACCAAATTCTTCTCTCAGAAAATTTGATATATTCTCAGTGTTTATTGATCTAACATCAAGAGACTCGAAAACTAATGAAGGTTTAACCTTAAACAATTGACATTCCATAATATTTATCTATATGTGCATAAATATAATTGTTTGTATTACATCAATATTGAGCCCTTAAAAATATTTTAATATATATAATGATATATATATACATATATATACATATTAGAGTTGTAGGCGAAACTGGCTGAAGTTGCAGTGAAACTAGTGAAAATTTGTTGAATACGATGAAAATTAATTAGTGCAATAGCAATTAAACTTAGGCTTAAACTATAGTATGTTGAAACTATAGTAAGCTCAAACTCTCAAACTTAGCTTCACCTGCAACTCTAATAGATGGTCATATGTACTATACAATATATACCTCATCTATTTCATCTATTTCATCTTCAAATTCTACTTCATCATCTTCAAATTCTGCTTCATTGTCCATTTATTATCTATTTCATTATTTCTATTATCTGCTTCATTATCTATTTCTCTATCATCTGCTTCATTATCTATTTCTCTATTATCTGCTCATTAATTCTATCATTTCTTTCTTCGCTATAATCAAACTCTAAACCATTTGTTATTTTGTCTATTTCATAATCCATATGTTCTTCAAATCCTGGTTCAATATTTTCTATTTCTCCTCTAAAACCTAATACAAAACCACTATTCCATTGATTAGCTTGCTGCACATTTCTTAGTATATTACTTCTCCTTTCTATAGTAGCTTCTTGAAGAAGGTTTTCAATTATATTATTGTGAGTTTTTATATGGTTGCGATAAGAAGAACGACAGTTAAAGTATCTATTACAGCTTGGTTCAGAACACTTGTATATTGTATACTTATATAAATATTGCGAGTTAGATAAAATCCAATAATAGAGTTAAAATTACGATTGGATAAAAATCTTAGATAATGTTTGAAAGTCTATAGTTAAAATACAAGTATTACACTGGTATTTATATTTGTTACACCAGATCTTTTCATTTAAAATTCTTTGTTAGATTTGTACTACTAATAATGCATATAAATAATTTTTAGCTCTTCGAAACTTTAAATTTTTAACCGATTGAGCTGATTTCATTTCTAATTGTAATCTCTTAACAATAAACTATACTTTATTCTTTATTATAGAACTATATGTTAAGAAGCCTATAACATCTTGTTCGCTAAAATTACAAACTCAATGTGACAATTTATGCTTATAATAGCATTAAAGTAAAAAACCTTTATTAAGAATAAACCTAAAATTTTTTACGTTTCAAAATGAAAAACCCAAATTTTTTTACGTTTCTTAATGAAAAAAACAATATACTGCACCTGAGTCAAGTTAAAGACCTTTATTAAAAATAAACCCAAAATTTTTTATGTTTCAGAATAAAAAACCCAAAAATTTTACGTTTCAGAATGAAAAAACAATATACTACACCCAAGTTAAGCTAAAGTTAGTATAGTCAACTATTCAGTAACTTAATGAAAATGCTTTTACTGCTGTTTATATTAGAATATAAGTCGATATATGATTTTCAATATAACACGATTTAACGATCATTTCACCATGATATTAATCAATCATACTCTATTGCAATAGTCAATAAAAAACTACTAGTAAGGTGGCTTTCTTGAAATCGTGCCTAAAAACTTTTTCATCCTTTATATTCTTTTCAATATTATATCAAGCAATTACAATGTGCTATTAAATGATCATAATGAACCAAAAATTTATGCCTAGATCAAGTAGGCAAGAAACTTCAAGTGATGGTACACAACACATAGTAAAATTTCTGTTGAATCATAACATTGCTTTTTAAAAAAAAAATTATTATATCGCTCAAAGTAAAAAATTGAAAATTTCGAATTTTACAAGACAATTTACAAATTGAAAAACATACTCTAGACACTATTCAACACACACTCCATTCAAAATTATTATATGTTATAACAGATATGCATGTCTGCAAAAACGTCGAACTGTAGGTCAAGTTGCAAATTTTTGAATTTTGCCATTTAACATATTGAATATTTAATTTTCGACTTTTTTTTTATATAGATGAATGGATCAATATGTATCTATACATTTATGGATCAAGTTTTTAGCAAATTGCGTCCAGATGAATATCCTTTATTCAAGAAACTTTTTTATTAAGCAAATAATTTATATTATCCCTTAAAATTGGACGTAAATTTGGAATCTGAATTCAATGCTTATGAAAATCATACGAAGCTTATATTTATCAAGAAAAGTTACTGGCTAATGAAAAAAAAATTGCCAGAAAATTAATCAAATCATTAAGAAGCAATGACAATTCCACAATTCGAGAATTCGTTCTTTAAGAAATTTATAAGAAATTGTTATTGTTACAGAGTAACTTTATAATGTTATACTAATAGTTTTGTAAAACAATACTTTATAATTTATAGTTTATATTTTAGATATAATTCT